CAGCGGCACCGGACCTCGCCATCTAGCGGGGGAAAATCACCGACACCTCCCGGGAAAAATACACTATACTTACGGGACTAGTAACCTTAGCCGTCTTCGCGCTCGGAATCACGATCAATCATTTTCTTTCAGCTACTGATGTTGCTTCCTATAATGTACAATTTTCATCCTGCAATGGTATCATTTAATGCTGCGTGTACCCCAATGACCGAGCGAAGTGTACCGTGCGTAGCGCGCTGACTTCGCAATTGTGAGGACCAGGTTCGAATGCTTGGGTCGTTAAAAAATGTCACGATCACCACCACTCCAGCCACCTGCCCTCTTCATTATAGTCCTTTCACCCCTCATCATCACCCTATCACTTCATTCAGAGTTCCCTGCAAAAGACAGAAGGCCCTTGTCCTTAATGGAACCTTAGCTGGCTAATAATAATTATAAAAAATACAGAAATAATTACAATATTGTATCCTTTCAGTGCGAGCTCTGGTTTAATAATCCCTTCATTTATAACCTCCTAATCTTTGATATTTCTTGGCAATATACTTTTCAACAAAATTAAAACCCGTATTCGCTGAACCAGTTATATCTCCTCTGTACAAATGTTCAAATTAATCTAAATTTTCGGTACCTTTTTCTTTGTTTTTTGTTTATTTCAGAGCACAACATACATATCAGATCTTTTCATTATCTGCAAAACTCCGACCATTCTAGATCGCAGTTCTTGAATATTCCATGTGCTGTTCGTTCTCTATTGCCAAATCGTCGTCTAAAGTGTGTCAGGCTTCTATTTCTAGGTTTGGAAACGGTGAGATGTCTTTCCAGGAGCAAGTATTCTGGCCCTACGTCCCAACCCCCCAACCTGGAGTGCCTGGAGGATTTACTTTCGGGGTTTTTCTCGCCTAGGGGGTTTACCTCCTCTTTGGCTAAGAGGCCCCCCACCCCAGACCAGTTTTTAGGGAATTTTTAATTCTCAAGGAGAGTGATCCAATCCAAAATCCGCTCATCTGCTCTCTATTTTCGAGGCCGTTGGCGGACAGGAAATAACGTACACATCCTACTAGGAAAAAATGAAAACAAAACAAAGAAGACAAAATAGGTAAGTAAGTTGAGTAATAGTGACTCAACTAGTTAGTTGAGTAATAATGACTCCCTAGTTCTCGAAACCTAATAGCGTCGGAGTCGAAAACACTAGGGGTCAAGAGAAACTAAATAGGAAAGAAAATAGAAAAGTGGCATAATACAGCGAACACAGACGAAGTTTAAATTTTTGATTCATTAATATTTGCATTTTATTTTACAATAATGAGGATGTTGTGGGTGGAAATTACTAAAATCCATTACGCATTCCTCCCTTGAATGTACATTTCTTTATATAACTTTTAAAAAAGGTGTAAATTTTAAAACTGTTTCACGTACTACAGAGAGAATCGTACTTTGTGCAAGTTTTCTTGAATTTTGAGATCCCTATCCTACCCAATATACAAGTTAAATTCCGAATGCAGATGGAAATGAGCAAGAATTAATAAGAAAATATTGATTTCGGTGTAACAAAACTATTTGCTAAGCCAAATCAGCTGTAGATTTGAGCTTTTATCCTTCATCATGCCCATCGTGAACGAATCGTCTTCCTGCCGCAAGAACTTGGAGGACGATAATTTTAATAACTTTATTTCTCACAGAACTCTAGAAAACGTGCACAGATAATGAAGTTATGTTTATGTCCAGAAACAAGCAAGAGAACATTTCAGCGTTCGCTCGAAGGGTCAGAGAAACTGGCCGAAAAAAATTGATCAAGATAATGGGCATTGACCCACAAATTGAGGTACAATACGTGTAACACATAGGTACACAAAGTAATATTTTGCAATTTGATGCTCGGTTTTCCTCTTAGATTGTATAGAAACAGTTATGCGGCAGAGAATATTTAATTGTATATCGATTTTCATAATTTAATGTCATCTGGCAATGTGTTACAGAATAATGCACATATGTGTCAATTTTTTGTAGAGAGCTGTTGATACTGACATCTCATGAACATGATTACTACGTCCAATGTTATACTTATAGAACCTGTATTCTTACAAAAATGTTTCCAGCCTTGAGTAAGTATTTTTCAACAAAAAACATTGATTCGAAATCGATAGGTAAAGGTACTGTTAAAATTCCTAGATTTATTAAATGATTCTTAATGAATACATTGTTGGCATTTTATTGTTATTATTATTATTATTATTATTCGCACAATTCTTTATTGGAATCTAAAAGTCTGGGAGCGATAGGTTGTATTTGCCCTGAATATTATGCCATATCTCCGACGGTAATGAACATTCGCGAATATACACAACGAGCAGTATTAAGACTGACTGGAAAGATTTCTGGACAGGTCGCATAATGAACTTAATTTTATGATCAATTCATTTCAATGGACGTTCTATTCGAGGTTTGACTAAATTGAGAGACTCAAAAATTGTGTTACCTCAACATCGGTTAATTGCACATCTTTCATTATCAATGGAGTATGTAATTGTGTTATTTGGAAAGGAAAACTACATAATTGGATATAATTTACTTTTGGGGAACAAAAGCGCGATTTATTCATGAGATCAGAAGCTTCAGTTCGTGCCTTACAATATTGCCTCGCCTCATTTGAGTGCCTACCTAATCGTAATCTTGATTGAAAACTCTCACGTTTTGGTCTTCGGCCTCAGTACTTCTATCCTTGCCATGATAAATCCTCATCAAATTGATGCAAAACTTCCGCCAGAAACTCGACGAGTGCGTCAGACTAGCCAATATCCACTTTAGAAGTCTAAGCATCCGCTCACATATAAAGAACCAAAAGTATCACTTTTAGATACGTAACAAATAGCGCACGGAAGTTTGGCAAAATGCTTTTTTGCTATTGTTACTATATTACGCCTTTCAACAAAAGGAATCACTTAATTGTACTCTGGAGATATTTTAGTAGAATTTCATTTTACCCTATTTCCATACTTTACCAAATAGTCTTATTTTTGCATTTTACGTCATTATTTTTCTTTTTTCTTCTGGTGCAGTTCTCGATCAAGCTGGATAACATAAAGTCACGGTCGTGTTTTGCCTTTCTGGGGTTGCAGACTCTGTGTTAAAAATCTAAATGAAAAAGGAAGATGATACCAGTCAAGATATTTTTTTTATTTTTTCATTGATGCCGACACGCTTTGTTCGCCCAGAAGAAATCCCAACCTACTTTTGAGTATGGTCTCCAATTCCTTTTGAAGACAGCTCTCAGTGAATGATATGACATTTTCAGTGTTGGCGATTACACAAGTGTGCAGAATGAAAACAAAATCCGTTTTCACTGATGACATGTCAAGATTCAAAAGCGAGATAATATAATTTCGAAGAGACAGCGTCGCGAATAAAACATATTCATAGCCATAATACCTAATGGTACAAGGAATCAATATTACAATGAAAATATAGGTTCCTTACCCGTTAATTTTATAGTTATAATAAAAATTTGGCTCATATTTTTTTACCATAATTCCTTTTAAATGTGATTTTTCATTTTTACTTGTCTTTTTCCACCCCTATTTTAGCTTGTGTAAATGTCTTTTTCATGCCTACTTTAGTAAAAATAAATGTATTCAGCTTATTTTAGATCAAATAAATACTTGAAATTCCGGGCTCTACTTATGACAAACAAGTGTGCAAATCTAGCAATGTTGAAAGATATAACGGTTTCCAATTTCAAAATTACTAGATACTTGAGAATTGAAGGGGTGGAAAATTTGATACAGATGAATGCAAATGAATCAGTCAACAAAAACTTTTCAACAGTTGTGTCCCAGTGACAGCACATTGCCTTTCATAAAACGTCTATCGTTGTTTGGGAACATAAAGTCCATGAATGGCTGCAAATGGTCCCCCAAGTAGCTGAACATAACAATTTCCAACCAATGATGGGTTCAATTGGACCAGAGAACCCAGTCCATTCCATCTAAAGACAACCCACACCAATATGGAATCACCACCAGCTTGCGTAGCACCTTATTGACAATTTCGGTCCATGGCTTCGCGGAGTCTGCGCACACCACCACCTCTTACTAACTGAAATAGGAACTCACCTGACCAAGCCAACGGTCTCCAGTCGTCTAGAGTCCAATCGATATGGGCACGAGCCCAGAAGAGACGTTGCTGGCGATGTCGTGCTGGTAGCAAAGACACTGGCGTCTGTCTTCTACTGCCATAGCCCAGAATTGTCGGATTTAATTCTGTCGGACATTCAGCCAGTGTCGTCGCTACGCCTCAGATATGACTTGACCACTGAGAATTTTCTACCTACCCGTCAAGGCGGCCCACAACACATTCGGCATTCACCGAGCAGCGACCTACTGCTCGCCCAATTCCGAACATCTGAAGTGTTCGGGGAATGTTCGCTCCCTTTGACGTATCCTAAAGACCGATATGTAGTGGGTACTGCGAATACTGAACGTTCGGCGCTCGGCAAATCGCAAGCACCCCTTCGACACTACTCGCGATTCGCCGAATGACGCGTGTGTGGAGCCACCTTCAGGCGAGAGCGCGCCCGCGCTCGGGGTATTGACGACTCGGAAATATAATATTTCACATACTGAATGTATGTTTTTAAATGGTCCAACGTTTAATTATTTTAAGGTACTCCTCATGAATAATCCATAAGCATTGTAAAATTAAGGACAGTGCATTTGAAGAATAAGAAAGAATAAATTATATTTATTTCGTCCAAGTGATATAAATACAGCAATAAAGATCTTATCGTTTTACATTCCAAAGCCCAGCTGGCGCCTTCACGCGGCGACGGCCCACGAGCGCACGAGGCGCCGCATCGCAGGCGCCCAACGCCAGGTCGGCCGGCGCGTGGCCGTGCGCGTCGCGCGCCAGCGGTCGGCGCCGCCCCGCAGCAGCGCCTGCGCCACGCGCTCGTCGCCGCCACGCGCCCCACGTGCAGCGGCGTGCGCCCCTGCTCGTCCGCGCGTTCACCGGCGCGCGGCAGCCGCAACAGCTCCTCCACGCAGCGCGCGTTGCCCTCCCGCACGGCCACGTGCAGCGGCGTCTCCCCGCCGCCGTGCGCTCCTGCAGGCCCAGGCCCCGCGGCCAGCAGGTACCTGCAGCCGTCGGTCAGCCCTTCGCGCGCCGCCCAGTGCAGCGCCGTCCAGCCCTGCAGGTCTCTTGGCGGACACGTCCGCCCCTTCGCTTACCAGCTTCTCCGTGCAGCTCATGCTCCAGCCTTGAGCAGCGCAATGCAGCGGCGTGTTTCCTTCCGCAGTCGTTACGTTGACGTCCACGCCCATCTCTAGCAACATCGCCATGCACGCCAGGTTGTTCCTTTTCGCGGACAGGTGGAGGGCCGTGTGGCCCTCGTTGGTCGTCGCCGTGACTCCGCAGCCGGCGTCCACGAGCGCACGCATCACGTCATGACGGCCTGCGTCGGCGGCGCGGTGCACCGCAGTCCACCCGTCTTCGTCTTGAGCTGACACATCCGCGCCTAGAAGAATGAGCTCGCGCGCGCACTCGGCCGTGTAGACGAAGTGCAGTGCGGTTCTTCCACTATTATCTCTGCAGTTAACATCAAAACCCGCCTTTACTAGGGCGCGAATGCATTCGATTTTCGAGTAGTTCGTTGCCATGTGCAAGGCATTATATCCATCACTGCACTTATACGAAAGATCCACAATCTTCTCATTGAGAAGGTACAGTACAATGTCTTCATAACCCATTTCAATGGCGATAACAAACGACTGTTGTATCTCCTTCTGAGGTACACAGGAAATATATTCAGAGTGACAGAGCAACTTCACGCATTGTAGGTAGTCAATAGATCGGTTTGGCTTGGCTGGACAATATGGGGAGGGAATATACCAACGAGAATGCCCATTGATGGCGCAGTACAGCGGCGTATGTCCGTACTCATATCTGGTGGTGAAGTTGGCGCCTCGCTCCAGAAGCACCCGCACGCACTCCGCTGCGCCCTTGTCGGCCGCCCAGTGCAGCGCCGTGCTGCCGTAGGGGCCGACGTGGTGCAGGTCCGCTCCGTGATCCAGCAGCACTTCCACGCACTGCACGCGGTTGAACGCGGCTGCGTAAAGCAAGCCAGTAAAATTCCCTTCAAACTGAAAACAAAAAAGTGATGTTACATCAATGTTCCACTTCACTTTTCGTACTTATATTCCTGTACTTAGAACCTTGGAATAGAATCCTCACATTTAAAATCTCCCAGTCAAATGAAATAAAAAAGTATTCACCCTGTCCATCTATTAGATAACGAAGCTACGAAAAAACAGACTGTGAGTTTAACAATTCGTATTTGCATATTTCAAAAATAAATTATTTACTTAATTATACTGAAATGTCAGCAACCATCGTACTACCGAACATTATTTCATTTTTATATGTACGATGAGACTAGTATATTTATACCTGTAGTAAAATTTAAAAAAATATTTCTTGTACAAAATAGTTCCATTGCATAAGCAATGGCAAATCACGAAGAGGTGAAAAAATATTCTAGTTAACAAGTGAAAATTTAAAATACTGTGAAACCTGTTTTAAGCAACCATTGATAGTTTCGTGAAAAAGTGTTTTTTAAGGAATTGTTGCTTTATAAGAGCAGTTTTTTACAATCTACTGGCGCTTCAACGGCACATACTTTCTCACACGAATTGTAAGGGTTCTTCGGAATATTATACTACATTAATCTGCAAACGTGTTTTCAAAAAGTATTTTTTCCGCTCTGTGAATCGAACTCAGGTCTACCGAGTTAACTCGGTATTTTATTGTCACATCACACAGTCACTTGGGTGGATTCACTTGGGCCGACGCTTTAAAATGTTATTGTCTTTCCTATTATTCCCAATATGCAATTTTCGAATGTTCAAATATTTCAACGAAAATGAGACGTGAGCCACTTATTTAAGGCCCTAATTTTATCCGAGAAACAAATTAAACAAAAAAATGGATGTCTTTTTGGATAATTTTTTAATATATTGGCATTAAACTTTAGCAGAAATTACGCAAAAGCTTAAGTTTTTTCCCCAATTACATGACTTTTTCTAAGGAGCTGATATTTTTAAGAACTGATTCCGTTCTTCAATGTTGTAAGAATTGTAAGAAGAGAAAGAATAATCGAGCCCCCCAAAAAAACGGAACAGAAAAACTCTTATTGTAAGTCCATGGTAACAAGCAATTGAATAAATATTCTTCCTGTGTAGTATATTACTTGCTCTAATACGTTGTGTTGTCAGAACCTATTTCGTGGGTTCTTGATATCAAAAAAACGATTGACAGCCTAACGTCTTTTTGTCCGTCAGTATGTCCGTCAGTCATTGCTAGGCTAAAATTTCTTCAATGCTGGCTCCAAATTTTTGAAACAATTTTGACTGCGGATAATGTAAAGAACGCAAACTTGACAAGAAATTAGAAGAAAAGCGACCAAAATACGAAGCCACCCGCGCCCACCTTATTACCGTCGGTTACCACAGCGACGAAGTACTCCCCTGCTTGTTATAGGGGCACTGGGAGAATGGTGTGCGGGTAGTGACGCCGCGCTAAAGAAAGTTGCGAATGACCACAAGCTGAAAGCTTTAAGGGAAAAAATAGTCACTGAGGCCATTGATGGCAGCACGGCATGACACTACACGCACATCGGCAATTTACACCTGGCCCCTCGTCCACCGCATGCGAGAGGAAGCTAGCTGCGGAACAACAAAACAGATCTGCAACAACACCAGACGACAAGCGGGAGCCCCTGCCTAGATATTGAATAGATTTATGTATTATAATGTATATATATATATATATATATATATATATAAAATAGTCGTATATAATTTCTCTTTTTCCTTTGTTTCTTTCAAATGATCTCTTCCGACCTCCTGCGCCTCCTGCTGGCGCCACGGCGTCAACGTCGACGCCCAGGTGAACTTAAAATCGCACTTCTCTATCCCCATGAGCTCTGCTCTTGTACTTCTCTTTTTCCTTTGTTTTCTTTCAAATGATCTCTCTCTCCGACCTCCTGCGCCTTCTGCTGGCGCACGCGCGTCAACGTCGACGCCCAGGTGAACTTTAAATCGCACGCTCTCTATCCCCATGCAAGCTGCGCTCTTGTACTTCTCTTTTTCCTTTGTTTCTTTCAAATTGACACTCTCCGACCTCCTGCGCCTTCCTGCTGGCGCACGGCGTCAACGTCGACGCCCAGGTGAACTTCAAATCGCACGCTCTCTATCCCCATGAGCTCTGCTCTTGTACTTCTCTTTTCCCTTTGCTTCTTCGAATATGACTTCTCCCGACCTCCTGCGCCTCCTGCTGGCGCACGGCGTCAACGTCGACGCCCAGGTGAACTTCAAATTGCACGCTCTCTATCCCCATGAGCTCTGCTCTTGTACTTCTCTTTTTCCTTTGTTTCTTTCAAGATACTTCTCTCCGACCTCCTGCGCCTCCTGCTGGCGCACGGCGTCAACGTCGACGCTCAGGTGAACTTCAAATCGCACGTTCTCTATCCCCGTCAGCTCAGCTCTATGTACTTCTCTTTTTCCTTTGTTTCTTTCAAATGATCTTCTCTCCACCTCCTGCGCCTCCTGCTGGCGCACGGCGTCAACGCGACGCTCAGGTGAACTTAATCGCGCTCTATCCCTCATGCTCAGCTCTTGTACTTCTCTTTTTCCTTTGTTTTTTCAAATGATCTTCCTCTTCCGACCTCCTGCGCCTCCTGCTGGCGCACGGCGTCAACGTCGACGCTCAGGTGAACTTCAAATCGCACGCTCTCTATCCCTGTCAGCACGAAATTTTCGAAAATTCAGAGAGTTCATCAAAAATGCAACCTGTGTCAAGGGTCCCTTGTTCTATCCGAGGAAATAATTTTAAGAAAAGTTAGAGCGATTTTTTAAGAAAATGTTTTTTGTTTAAATTTCATTTATTTCAAACACAAATAAAGATGATCCTGCTCTGTTTTAAAAAAAATTGTGATCTTTCGAAAAGTTCTGAGTTTTTAAAAAAATTATTAGGCAAACATCTCAATTATCAATTTTATACTTTGAAATATTAACGAATCAATTTTTTTAAAATAGTGAGGGTTTACCGGAAATAAGACCGAGTCACTTTCTTACTGTTCATTAATACATACAAGGAGAAAATTTAAACAAAAAATGTGAGAGTTTGAGAAAATAATTGTTTAAAAAAAATGCATATTTTCACATAAAATTTACACGAAAACTACAAATATTTTTAAAATGCATTGCTACATAACTTTATTTGAAAATCTGTCTTAATGAAGTAAATGAAAAATTTTCTATCTTCGAATTTGGAGTTGCAGGGAGTCGCCGAAAAACTATTTGAACTTTGGAATTTTTGAAAACTCAGGGATATCAAAAAAATGGTACTTTTACTATTATCTTTTAACAAAAATATTTATTAATGTAATATATATATATATATATTCTAACATACCCACCTACACCTCCACACAACTTACCACCTTCAACATAGCACGCATGAACCGTAAGCAGGTTGTCAAAGTTTTGCTCGTGAAGCGAGTTTTAAAAATCTAGGAGCCAGGATCTTCAGGGTGCGAGAAAGGTTTGAACCCTTGACACAATAAAATCACACAGATTGCACACAAACGAGCGTATAATTTACCATAAACTTTTTGTGGCATAAGTTAATAACAGAAACCAAGAATATAGAATCAATTTTTCCAAAGAATAATCAAAACTCAGATAGAAACCTTTACAACACACACTCATATGAATGAACACATAATTTACTTGAAGATTGATACTCTTGACATAATTACTCCAAACTACACTGGGAATTTCCATTGGAAAATTAATATTATATCTAATTTGTGCTATCCTAATAACATTTCACATGAAACTCAAAAATTCAATTTACAATCTCTCGCTTCAAAGATATTACGTGTAAAGAACAAAATGTGTGCAAGTGCACTACTCTAAATTTACAATTTAAACTGTGTCTGAAAAAGCGAACTAATAAATGTCTAAGTAGAATGTTTTTAGCAGCAAGAGCGCATCAAAACGTCTCCTACTATAATACTGTAATTGTTTGCCACCCGTGGTCCTCAAACTCTTGACACTTTCCTATACTAGTTTCCCTGCCGACGTGAACTTGACCTATTTTCTTCGGTTCCTAACTGTTACCTCGTGGACTTTTGGCCTTGATGGTCGTGCGCTGGTCGCTGCGTTGACGCCGTTCGGTCGCACTCTGCGTCGTAAGAGAGACGGGATTCGCCTCTGCCGTCTGCGTTGCCTTCTTGCGTCCTCTTCCGTTCTTCCTCCCAACCGTTTCCGTCTTCTTCCACGTGCGCCTGGATCCTCGGCCTCTTCCTTCTTCCTCGTCTCCTACCGGCGCCTCTGACACGCCCATCATTGCGAAAACGTCCCTTGCACTTTACCGAATACTCGTGCAAGTTCCTCGCTCGTTTGCCACTTTTACTTTGACAAGCCCGAACTTTTAATGTTTCTTCACAAACGGTAACATTTACTTCCCGTGTTTGTTAATTGAAGAAACACTACTTAATCTGCACTAATCTTCGCGGACGACTAACTAGAACGTCTGTTTCAACGCCGAATACTCCTACCTAGTAGTCGTTGCAACGGCACAACATATCTAATGTTTAACGAAAATGTTGACTCGCCGACGGTGATAAAAGAGAGCTGCTTACTCGACGCGTGGTGACCAGAAAAGAGAGCTTCCGCTTGCGGGTTCGCTATTCATGGCGCGGCGCCTGGGGAAATTTTCAGTGAAGGGGGTTGCTACTTCCCCTCTCTTAACCCTTCACAAGGAAAACATAGCTCGCTAGTTCGCATTCGTTTAGTACGGGCAACAGATACCAGCCGCGCGTTTAAGTACCTCTGCCTTACGCGTCTGTGTATCCTCGCTGCCTCCGTAGTGTTCACACATGAAACGGTGGTGTTATGGGGTTGCACAATCCCATAACGCCACTATATATATATATATATATATATATATATATATAATATATATTTATATTATATATATATATATATATATATATATATATTGTGACGTACCTGGGAAGCGGTACTTTCACGACAAATAAATTATGCAAGGGACAGGTACATTTTGTGAATGGGTC